TACGTTGAACTCTTTGGTGTGAACCTTATGTGATACCCCAAATTCAGGTAAAACTCGAAGAAGAAAAACATTAGGATCATTACATCCATCAACACCATTCTCCTCGCTACTTTCTTTGGGACTAAAAAATCAATTACCTTCAATATTTTGGGAATAACTCCTAGACATCCACCCTATTCTTCTTCAAGAATAGGAGCATCCACAAAATCCTCTCCAATGGTAGGATCATCTTCTTAATCCTCTTTATGGATTGGATCACCATTAAAGCTATGATCTCCCACGTCCTTCACAACACCCAAATCTTCATCTAGGTACTTGTCAAAGACTCGTTGTTAGTCCCAGTCCACGACGTGTTGATCTTGAGAACCATTTGCTAAAAAGAAAGTTTTTGCATGGTTGTCCTTGGATAGACTTCCATAACACTCCGAGATCTCAACCTTGAGAGTGGTTTCCTACCTCCTACTATCCCTATCAGTACTATCAGCTACCTCTCTCCTTGAAGATTGATCATTGAAGGGATTCATGGGTTCCACATTTGCCTCAATCTCATCATTCTGAGACGGGGGTTCCATCTGCACCAAACGCAGAGCTAGGACTTCGACCAATCACCTCAGATCTACAGTCCTTTTTTGCAATTTAGCATCAAAGGCTTCTATGAATTACTACTTTTCCTCTATGTGGAGGCATGATTGTTGATCTAGGACACAAAAATCGATGTTACAATACCATCTGTACAGTGCTACGATACCATCCGAACATTGTATGGTATCGTCTGTGCTATAGTACTATCTATACAGACTGTCAGACTCTGATACCAACCTAGCACAGACCTAGTAGCTTGGAGCTAGGGTTTTAGCAAAGAAGAAATAGGGAAGATCCAAAGTTAAAGAAAGATTAAAAAATCATTGATAAAAGAATGGGTACTTATTGCTCTAGGGTTTTGAATAAAGTCCATAACACGATGTTTCTTTTATGTTTGATTACATATCTTTATTAGAAAACTCTAAACAAGACTTAATCTTGACCATCCTACTAATCTAATCATGAATATTCATTATAAAAAACTTTAAGTGAATAAAAAGACTTTCTGGAAATTACTACTTGTCACTCAATAAATAAAATATCTCAAAAAATAATAAAAAATATAAAAGAACATATTTAATGACTAGTTGCTCTCGTGTGGTTCCTCCAGTAAATTTCAACTTGTCTCTCTTATCTAGTTACTAGAGAGCAGTATTCTGGGCTGCATCACTCTTAGAGGACCTTGATTCTTAATTAGCGACTTTCTAAAGATAAGATTATTATATTCCATAAAAGTTCCTGAATAAGAGGTGGTAAACGTAGTTATTAGGATCTTCTCTTGAGGGTTTGCTTCTGCACGATTTCATTCCGACGATCTGAAACATGGGATCATATATGGGGATTCCTTGATATTAAGGATCTCAATTAGGGAAATGAAAGATCTTGATCCTATGTTAATGGGACCCAGATTCCCATACCAAAAATCATCGTGTCATGAGTAAGCGGAACCGTGATTCCACCAACACGGAATCAAGTATCCTATGCATTGGGTGCGAGTTTCAACGACACATTTTTTGGGTTCATATACAATGGAGTGTGGATCTACAACTTTTATGAGCTACAAACTTTCTAAATGCCATTATTTCCTGTATATTTTATAGTTCACAACTTTACGCACCTTGTGAAATGTGACTTCTGTCTAGTTTCAAAGAAAGGAAGAAGTTGGAATTATGATAAGAGTCCATAAAAGGAATTTGAAGAGAATAAGAAATCCATAAAAGTCTCTAGTGAATGTATCTCTTCACCAGCTGTTGAGAGAGCTAGAGAGAGAGGGAATGAGAGAGATCATGGCCAAGGAGTTTATGAAGAATTATATGGCCATATTGCTTTCTGTATCATGACTCATTTTTTAAATCTTACTCCCTTGATAACCAAAAGTCCAATAGATTTTCTATGATGATTCTTGTTTACCTTGATACTTTTGTTTGTGAATTTGGAAAAAGTTAAAATATTGTTAAATAGAACTCACTGCCAAATTACAATACAACGGATAATTGAACTTTGGGAACCTCGATCCTAACATGGTAGACTGCAATCCCATCCCATAGGGGATTCACTCCTTTGCAGATATGGCACTCGATCCCTAAAAGTCAGGGATCTCGATCCCTACATTTTCCAATCTACGGAAAATGTTCCCTCGACCACAGAACTTTGATTCTTCCTCTCTCCGCTCTTCTACTCTCGACCCCGAAGCTTTTTTCTCTCCTCCCCTGGTAATTATGGTGGCAAATATCTTCCATGGTATCGTCCCTTCCCTTAAAGGGTTTGGAGAACCAACCCCGCATAAAATGTGCGTGTTTAATTTCCACAATAGAAGGTCTATCCATGTCATTCTAGAATTAAAGCATGTGACCACCTGGCTCTCTCAACATTGCAATTCATGAGTAGGTGGTGGAACAAGCTTGTTCTTGTCTTGGTACACAAAACATGCTAGGGCTTTGTAAGCCCCTATGTAGAATATTATCCGTTGTTACGGTACTGCTGCATATATGCCACCCAAATTCCACAATCCTATATGGTGTTGGCTCCCAAGAGTCTTGACACCAGCCTATTTGTGGTCTTAGCTGCCAATGTTCTATGAGCTCTTGACATGAAAATCCCTCAGATCTCCTTGGTCTATAGCCTTATATTGCATTTGCTACTTGGAATATAGTCTTTGTCGCAAAACCCCCCGAGGGTCCACAAAATTCCTACCTCTGAATCTTAATATCTCTTTGAAATATTAGACACATTGTTGCCTGCCCTGTAACCAGTGTCTTCTGTACATATTTTAGCCGCTTGCCTTGGTTATGTTGTCAGTCTGATTAGGATAGTGAAGACTCCCTTAAACCCTTTGGTCTACCATCGCACCCAAAAGACTGCAAACTTTGATATAGTCGAATTTTTTTTTATTCTTAGTGTACTGGTATTAATAGAAGAGTAATGATCCTATACGACCCTCCCCCACCCATGTGTGTAGGACCCCAAAGGATCACCATTAAATTTGGCATGGATCTCTGGAAAAGTTATCACATGGGTGTGGGACTCGACATTTTTAGAGATCCGTGCCAAATTTAATGGTGATCCTTTGGGGTCCTACATACATGGGTGGGGGAGGGTTCTATAGGATCATTTCTCTTAATAGAAATACTGAAAATATGACATGGATATTATGCGTTATAATATGGCATATGTAGGTATTAAATTGTTAAATACCTGGGAATTAAGCTGTGACTTGATTGGTTTAGTGTTTATGATTGCAGCACTACGTCCTAGATTCAAATACCATGTCCTTTAAAAATGTGTTGGATGCACATGTTCTGTGTACCATATAAGTTGTATTAGATAAGTATCAATGTATTAGATAGGATACACATGTCCATATCATTTGCTCGATTTCGAGCAATGTCAACTCGTATCTCCTTTATCTGTATCCATGTCCATCTTTTTATCCTTAGCTGGTAATCAACCTTGTCCGTATCAAAGCTTACAAATTCTAGCTAGCTTTCCTTGTGTCTAGAGTCCAGTCACTGATGATGGGTGAAATCATTGAAACTAGGCTTGTTAGCTTCCTTTTTTATTTCAATCAATTCATTAGTTTTTTTTTTTTAGTGATCTTCTTGACTTTTTCTTGGAACTAATTTGAATCTTGAACCCTCACACTCCTCATGTCGATTCGCTATCTCATGGAAAAGCATCTCATTCCTATATTTTAATTGGTTGAATACCATGTTATGCTATGCCTTGTACTTGATTTTATTCCCTTGGAAGGTTTTTGGTGAGGAGAAAGCCAACAACCTCTCCTACCTCACAAGAGAAGGGCCATACTTTCATGAATTCCTTGAGGCTAAAACACTTGGTCCTATATTGCCAAATACAAAAGGACATGGCCAAAACACATGGGAAAGTACATCTAGAAGCATGTGCATATGGTCAGACCAGGCTTTTTAAGTCATTGACTGTCATCCCTGGGCACCTCGTTCCAGTATGCCCAGATGAGAAATCAATGCAACTTAGATATTGATGGATCCCTCCCAATTCTTGACCATTGTCTACGTGAATTTGATAAATGACTGTCATCCCTGGGCACCTTTGTTCCAGTAAGCCCAGATGAGAAATCAATGCAGCCTAGATATTACTGGATCCCTCACTCTATTGCAGTCTGAAGGCCATGTAGTTCCACTCAGTACTGCTTTCTACCTGGGTCATTTGGCCCATACATGGTTGTGTATACGGTTGTCAATATGCACATTCGGTCATCCTTGAAAGTGCACTCCTTATTTAGCCCTTCTCCAGAAGCACGTGATGGCAGGACAACCCAATCTATTTTATTGCACTGTCAGTCTTTTAACTTGGCAGCAAACTGAGTTTTAGGGTACCCTTTGGTAAGGACATTTTTCCTTATTTCTTTTTATCCTGTCAAATTCTTAGAGGGCCTAGGTCCCTTAATTATATTTTGGGCCAATCAGAGGGACTATTAATTATCTTCTTATGACTTGAACCAATGCTCTTTTTCGGCAATTTTATACAAACTTCTGGTTTGTTTGGTTACTTTTTCATAAATTTATTGTATGCTTGTTCATATTTATTTTTTCTAAACTGTGGTTATTTAAATTGGTTGATTTTAAGATTTGCCTACTTTATGTTTTTTTGTAGATTTTCTTGTTGAACAGCACTTTTTAAAGGAGACTTTTTTTTATTTTAAAAATTGTTAGTCGTTCAGTGTTTGGTGACTATTTGGTAGCTTATTTGGACTTTGTTTATACGAGAGCAGTTTGTAATGTATTGATATAGCAATATGCATATAATTAATATTATGTACATATAGTTGTGCACATAACCTGTATTGTTTTGAGTAAACGAGAGTTCTTTTCAATTGTGTAAACATATGCGTTGTTTCTACATTTTTTGTAGAACTAAAGATATGACTGTATTTGTAGATTTCAAGGGATTTGTCTTATTATCTGAGCTCTCTGGTAGAAGATTTGAATTAAGCAGTCTTGAATTTGAGAAGCTTCATATAGAAATGTAAGTGGCATGGGCAAACTTAGGTGATATAAGATTCTGGGGAGACAAGTTTGAGAGAATGGAATCGACTGTTCCTGTATCTGGAGACACTTCTAATAGTAATGTGCGTGCTTTGAGTAATGTTGAGGCGATAGATGACTCTGGGGAAAATGAGCACTTGCATGCCAATAATGAAGTTGAGCACTCGCAGGAGGACAGGAATGACAAGATGGGGAAAAATTCACCAGGGAATGCAACAATTGATTGTGAAGTTCGTAGAAATATGGAGCCATTTGAAGGCATGGTATTTGAATCTGAAGAAGCAGTGAGGGCCTTTTATAATGAATATGCACGGCAGATGGGTTTTGGCATCCGCATCTATGGCAATCGCCGTGCAAAGAATGGTCAGAATGTCAGTCAATACTATGTGTGCTCTAGGCAAGGTCACCGAGGAAAAAAGTACCTAATGAGTGAGAATCCACGACCACATACGAGAGAAGGGTGCAAAGCGAGGATTTATGCTAAGAGAGTGGAGTCTGGACAATGGGTCATTAAAAAGTTTTTTAAGGAGCATTCTCATGCAATGGTCTCTCCTTCCAATGTTGTGCTTCTTCGATCTCATAGGCGTGCAGCTAACAGAGCAAAAAACTTAAACTTCATTGGCGCTTTTGACAAAGAACTCGAGAACCAAGTTGAAAACAAGAGTCGAGAATGCAATATGCAAGAGCAAGATGATAACTCTCATGAGCCTTTGACCTTGCGATACATTGATCTACGTGATCATGCCCTTAAAGTTGTGGCGGAGGGGGCCACAACTGCAGAGAGCTACCGTTTTGCCATGCGTGGTATACAAAAGCTTTTGCAAGACGTCATTGCCAACAAATTGAGGACATTCACACAAAATGGTGGTGTTCAAGGAGATAATACTTACAAAGTAAGTCAACCAGCTTCTATTAATGAGAATGTGACTCTGGGGGATCCTCAACATACAAACAAAACAGGGTGCCCTCCAACTACTAATCTGAATCTCGGTTGGGAGAATGCATCAAAGAAGCGAAAGACATGTGTTAATTGCAAGCAGCAAGGTCATGACAAGCGCACTTGTTCAAGGTAACAGCGTGAAATGCTGCTGTTAGAACTTTTTCCCATGTTTCTTGTTTTCTTTGAGGGGGGTTTCCAACTACTGATAATGGAAAATATTATCGTCTATATTTATACATTGTTTCTCAGGTGGACTTCTAACAATGCTGTGGCTGTCCCAATGAGTGCCATTCCTGAGCATGAACTTGACCCTAGCTCCACGGTATAACCCACTGCATATGTTCAAATTGACTCTTTTTAACTGTTAAAGAATTACAAACTGTTCACATTGGCAACTATCAATTGCCTGCAGTTTTAGATGAGTTTTATTTTTCAATTTTTATTTTTATTTCTTTGCAGGTTGCTTTTGGAGGATTTCAGAGATTTGGGTTTGGAGCATGACGCAGAAAGATAAATATTGTGGATAAAGGTATGAGAGAATAAGGCGGTATTCTCTTTTTAAAGATGAATATATCGGTGGTAATTGATTTTCTTTGATATGTCCGCTATGCACGCATTACCTTCCCTTTTCTTGCCTGATTTGTTTGTCTTTTCCATAAATGGATATAAACATTACTCATCATCATCATCATCATAGCCTTTTCCCAATTAATTGGGGAATCCTGTTCCGCCATTCTGGTCTATTAAGGCCATACCCTCAATGAGGCCATAAGTCCTCATATCTTTTCGTACTACTTCCAACCACGTCTTTTTTAGCCGACCCTTTGCCCTTTTCAATCCTTCTGCTTGAATTAATTCGCATCTCCTAACATGTGTTGTACTGGGTCGACGCCACACATCGCCAGCCCACCTAAGTCTACTTTTTCTCATCTTATCGCCTATTGGTGCCACACCTAAACTTTTTCGAATGGATTCATTTCGAATTCTATCCCTTCTTGTCTTGCCACTCATCCATCTCAACATCCTCATCTCAACTACACTCATTTTATGGGAGATATAAACATTACTAACAAAAGAAATTAACATCATGAAAGAAAATTGATCTTTACATATTTAACACAGTAATTGTCATGATAACTACTCCATGGAAATGGAAGAAGCTTTTTTGATGGAAGTCATATGATTGTTTAGTTTAGTATCTCATTCCTCTATTCTTGCATAGTACACAACTACGATCAGTGGCAACATGGCTAATTTTCTCCCTCTAGCTTTCTGTAAATTTTATTTTTACCATTAATTAATGTGGACCTGTAGAATGTCCTTGAATTGATCTCTAGAAGCGCAAATAAATTGGTGTGAGGATGCTTTTTTTTTTGTTATTTGTTTTGGTCCCCACCCCTACATTTCTTATTTAGAATGCTTAATTTTTCTCTCTCTGGCTGTAAGTGATGTTTATATTTTGGAATGATAGGCTTTTGTTTTGATTCTATTGTCAGATTAATTGTCTTCATCATGATATTGTGCCTTAAGCATCCATTCCTTCGTTCACGAGTTTCCATTCTGTGTAAAACCAGTGTTATAAAATTGGATCTGTGGGTCAAATTGCCCATCCACAGGTTCCAAGCCAGTGGAGCTGACTCATCGAGCTGGTTCGTCGGGCTCAACTAACTCAATGAAATTAAAAAAAATTTAAAATTTAAATCTTGGTTGCTTAAAATTTTTAAACGAGGTTTAGGATTGTCGAATCAATCTTAAAAAAACTGTTTCTGTGACATTGTACTCGTAGAAACATGATTTTTAGGAGGTGAGTCCCAAGTGGGGGACTTGGACCGGTCTCCTACCTGTTCCAAGCCAGCTCGGTCAGTTTTGAGCTGGCTTGGCAATTTTGAAAACACTGTGTAGAACTATGACTTTATATGTTACTAGTCAACAGCTGGTGTTATGTACAAGCACAACAATGAAACTACTATTTTTTTTTGGGGGAAAATATATAATGAGAATATTTACCTTTGGTACAAGGTGGTCAAAATTATTCTTGACCATTGGATGTGAAATTGGGTTGTTGCAATTATTTCATAGACAAAGCCCAAAGTTCAAAAGAAATTTTCTCAAACTTTGTGACACACTCAAATTTCACATCGGATGGTTGTAGGTAATTGGGACCTCCCTATACCAAAGGTAAATGGTCTCATTGTATACAAGGACCCGGTTTCTATGCGGCCAAGCCCGCATATGTAAAAATGCGGGCCTATTGATAGATGGATTTTTGGACGTAATTTTTAAGGACATGTAATCTCTAACATAGAGATCATGAATATGAAAAATAAATAAAATTAAAAAACTAGAAATAATAACTCTAGAAAGAAAACATTGGAACTGTTAGTTTCCATTGTTTTTAGATGGAACACCTACTTGCATCCATCTTTAAGATGGATGCTTTACAATTTTTGGATTGCATATGTAGTCTGTGGTCCAACCCTCATGAAACAATTTTCCTGTATACAATCCCTTTCTTTTTTCTTTTTTTGTTTAGTTTTACACCTTTAAATAGCTGATCTCAAATAGTTGGGATAAGGTTCAGATGATGATGATGGTGAGTTTCACACTTCTAAATCATAAAAATTATTCCAAAATAATAAAACTTCTTAAACTTTGGAAAATAAGGTACGATATAATTTTTCCATCATTGGAAAATAAAAAATTAAGGAGTTCAAGATAATTTTGAGAATTTATTAGCAATCTGTTGTGTAAGGAGATAATCTGTTTATATGTTGGTTTGGATGTACCCAAAATTGCAACATTTTTGGATTGAAATCCAAAACTCTTGTGAAATAGATTTGAACCGTTTGGACGGCCACAAGATTTTGGGCCAGTTCGGATGTCAAATAAAAATAAATTATCCAATAAAAATATAGTTTTTCAAATACCAATTGCAAAAAATACCAAGTGTTTTTCTTTTTTTATAAAGCAGTTTGGGTGTGAAAATCTTTTTTTCTCTCTGCGATTCTCTCCCTCAGCAAGAAGGGTACAACTTTGCAATTAACGCTCTCTCTCACCTTGTTGTGTGTTTCTCCCTCCAACCTTGATGCAACCACAGATCCACGAGCAGAAGAATGGCGCAAACCGTAATGGTGAATTAAAGATCTCCTTGCTTCCCTCTTATCTTCTCCCCTTTAACAAGAGACTCAAGCTAACAAATCCTAATGGTGAATTAAAGATCTCCTTGCTTCTCTCTTCTCTTTTCCCCTTTAACAAGAGACCCAAGCTCCTGTTATTGTTGTTCTTCTTCGCTCATCTTCTCTGCCTTATTTGAGCTTCCTCTTTTACCTCTGTTTTGGAGGTACGATGAGCGTCTGCCCCTGGTTTAGAAAAGAGAGAGAGAGAGAGAGGGGAGGAGCTTGATCATTCTCGAGAGACAAATAGGCTTTAGTCCAGCCTGTTGTGGAACTTCTGTGAGCAAACAAAAACTCAAGTGGTTGTCTCTTTCAGAATTTCTTTGTGACAATTGATTTTCCTTTGAAGATTTTGCGTTGACGTAGTTTAGAGAGAGAGAGAGAGAGAGAGAGAGAGAGAGTAAGATAGTAGATTTGGGGTTTTGAGGTAGAGAGATAGTAGAATTGGGGTTTTTGAGGTAAAGAAAGAGAGTAGATTTGGAGTTTATGAGGTCGAGAGAGATAGTAGATTTGGGGTTTCTGTGGTTTCACGGTGTGGGTTGGTGGGTCACAAGGTGGGGTTTGCATGGGGGTGAGAGAACCGCACTTTCATAAAAAAAAAAATCAAGCCTGACTTGAATTTTTTTTTACAGTAATTGTTGCTTTGAGACTGCAGAATTTTTTATTTCAATCTAAAAATCTAGTAAAATCTTATGGTTGTCCAAATGGGTCAAATCTATTTCACAAGATTTTTGGAGTGCAATCCAAAAATATTGCAATTTTGGGTACATCCAAACTAGCACTACTATATTTTTAGATTGAAATAAAAAGTTCTGCAGTCTCAAGGCAAAAGTTACTGTAAAACAAAATTCAAGTCGGACTTGTTTTTTATTTATTTATGAAAGTGTGGCTCTCTCACCCCCATGCAAACCCCACGTTGTGACCCAACAATCCACACCTGAAACCTCAGAAACCCCAAATCTACTCTCTCTCTCAACCTCATAAACCCCAAATCTACTCTCTTTTTCTACCTCAGAAACCCCAAATCTACTCTCACTTTACCTCATAAACCCTAAATCTACTCTCTTTCTCTCTCTAAACTACATCAACCCGAAATCTTCCAAGGAAAATCAACTGTCACAAAGAAATTTTGAAGGAGACAACCACTGGAGTTTCTGTTTGCTTACAGAAGTTCCACAGCAGGTTGGACTAAAGCCTGTTTGTCTCTCTCGAGAATGACCAAGCTCCTCCCCTCTATATCGCTCACTTTTCTAAAACCAGGGGCAGATGCTCATCATACCTCCAAAACAGAGGTAAAAGAGGAAGCTCAAATAAGGCAGAGAAGATGAGAGAAGAAGAACAACAATAACAGGAGCTTGGGCCTCTTTTTAAAGGGGAGAAGAGAAGAGGGAAGCAAGGAAATTTTTAATTTACTATTGGGGTTTGCTAGCTTGGGTCTTTTGTTAAAGGGGAGAAGAGAAGAGGGAAGCAAGGAGATCTTTAATTCACCTTCACGGTTTGCTCCATTCTTCTGCTCATGGATTTGTGGTTGCATCAAGGTTAGAGGGAGAAACACGCAACGAGGTGAGAGAGAGCGTTAATTGCGTAGTTATCCCCTCCTTGTCGAGGGAGAGAATCGCAGCGAGAAAAATAGACTTTAACACCCAAACGGCTTTATAAGAAAAGAAAGAAGGCTTGGTTGTTTTTGCAATTGGTATTTGAAAAACTGTATTTTTATTGGATAACAATTTATTTGACATCCAAACTGGCCCTTAGTTTTAGGTTTTGGTAATTTCTTTAAAACTATATTACTTAATTTTTAGAAAGAATTGTTAAAAATCGAAGAACTAAAATTTGGCTTAATCCTCTTATGGAAACCTTATTTATTAGGCCTCTATTTTTATTACTTACATTAAATTGGCAAATCGTTTTATAGAATAAAATGTTCATAAGTAATGTAACAGAGTGTCATATTTCTTATTTCTTTGAGGAAAGATAATTTTTTTTAAAATGATAATTTATCTTAATCCTACATATGCCTAAAAACACATGCATAAAAATCCTATTTACTAAGGCTATATGGAGAGATTTCTTGCCCTAATTCTGAATACCTCTCATAATTGGGTTCTGAAGCAGCACTAAATCTATTTGTCTGACTCTGTCTAATAGGATATGACTAGATGATTTTCAATGTACGATGAAATCAATTGAAATGGGAGGATATGATTGCATAAGGTTGACAGCAAATGGATATAACAAGATATATGTAGGATAGATTGGATTGTAATGCTGAGAGTGTTTGAGATTTCATCTTGTGTTAGAAGGGTATGTGCAGGTCGCAGGATGGCTGAATCATTGGACTGCAATCTATTCTCCCTATAGATAATTCATTTACCAAAGTTTATGAGGCAGTCAGTGGGTAGCACCTCAGAGGGTTTCATCAGCCAAATTGAAACTAATTTTGAGTTACTAAATGATATTCGATGGTCTGCAATCTCTCTCTCTCTCTCTCTCTCTCTTGTATCGTGTACAAAATTTCCTGTAAACTTTTGTATCTTGTTTGGAATAGTTGTTGCTGCCCATGTTATATTAACTTGAGAATGCAAAATTGGGGTGACATGAATTCTCTGTGCTTTTAATGTTCATTTTCTTCATTCATCTAAGCTATTTCTTAGTTTTTGCAAGCTCCGAAATCCCAAATATTGGTTTTTTGCTTTTTACATTCTGACCTGTTAGAGAGATCTTGTGCTTATTCATTTTGTGGTTGCTGTGCACCTCACATCTTCGTTTATCATGTCCTCTCAACATCAAAACAGGGAGGGAGAGGGGGAGCACAGAGTTAGTCTGGCGTAATTTTTGTTTTGATGTTGTGCAAAGTTTGGTAGTGTAGTATGCTTATTGATTAGGGTTTCTTCATTTAGCAATTTAGCTTTTCATTTCAGGTTTTCGACCTCTAGTTCAAGACTAATGATTAATTCATATTGGATGCTCATGACAGTGCCTTAATTCCTCTACTGCAAAACTCAAGCATTCATTCTTCACAATTGGATCTTATGGAGGCACTTTTTTTCGGAGAAAAAAGAGGGCGGGGAAATGGGGGAATCAAATATTCAGTTGGGAAACCTATATTCTTAGTTATTTTCTTATTTATTGCTTTATCTGTTTGAAGGGGGAAATGAGATTAGATCATTGGAAAGGCAAAGCAACTCAGAATAAACCAAAAAAGAAGTTGGTTTATGAATTTGAATTCATCAGGTATTTCATTATGCACTGAAGATCAGTCGAGAAGTACGCATCTTCCTTATCAAAGCTGGAAGTAGAATAAAAATAATTAAAAAATAAAAGAAGTTTGTGTTCTCTGTTACATGATAGTGTGTAGACGATTGTTAGGAAAGATTTGTTTGACCTCTTATTTTTTAATCATGTATCTGGAATCTATCTCATCATCATCAAAGTTTTTTCTCAACTATTTGAGGCCAGCTCACGAAACTATTTGGGGCCAGCTCAAGAATCTTGGTCCATTATTATGCTCTATCAAGGGCCATGTCTTTAGTGATGTCATAAATCTCTATATCTTTTCTCGTTATTGCCAACCATATCTTTTTAGGCTTATCTTTTAACCTTTTTGAATCTTTCACTTAAGCCAACCCACACTTTCTAATATGTGTTGTACTGGGTTTGTGTTGCATATGACCAATCTACTTAAGTCTACTTGCTCTCATCTTATCACTTATTGGAGCCACATTTAATTTCTCCTTAGTGTAGTCATTTCGAATTTTAACCCTTTTGGTTTCGCAACTTACCTATCTCAACTTAGCTACACTTATCCTATGGGCATATTGTTTCTTGATTGCTCAATATACTGTCTAACATGTGTTGTACTGGGTTTGTGCTGCATACGACCAACCTACATAAGTCTATTGCTCTCATCTTATCACCTGTTGGAGCCACATCTAATTTCTCCTTAGTGAATTCATTTCGAATTTTAATGCTTTTGGTTTCGTAACTTACATCATCATCTTAGCTACACTTATCCTATGGGCATATTGTTTCTTGATTGCTCAATATAATGTCCAATAAAACAAAGTTGGTATCACAACTATTTTATAGAACTTCCCCTTCAGTTTCATTCGTATGCGGCGATCATATACCAATATACCAATGAAGCTGAAGAGGTGGACACATCTCAAAAATAAGGAGCTATAGAGATTTTAGGATAGATAACTATCTTTTGGGAGAGAGAGATAGAGCTTACCCATCTTTAGGGGAAAATAGTTAGAGAAAGAAGAAAGGAGCTATAGAGATTTTAGGATAGATAACTATCTTTTGGGAGAGAGAGATAGAGCTTACCCATCTTTAGGGGAAAATAGTTAGAGAAAGAAGAAAGTTGTATGTATCTATTTTAAGGAGAGAGAAAAAAGTAGAAAATTTTAGGAGTATGACAAGAAAAGCTCTAAAAAATATTAAAAAACTATCTTTAGGGGGATTTTACCAACTATAATATTATCACTAAAAAGTTTTTTTTTCTTAATCAAACTACTAGTGAGTTCACAAATCCAAGAGATACAAAGGGAGAGAGAGTTAGAGAGTGTGAGAAGGGAGGTATTGGGAGAGGGAGGGAGAGAGAGAAGGGCATAAAGAGGGACAAGATTATTGAGAGAAGGAAAGGATGGGGTTATGAAGAGTGATAACTTCCCATCTCTAGTGGAAAAAGGATAAGAAAGTTGAATATTTTAAGAGGATTAAAAAAATTTCTAAAATATTCAAATGCTATGTATTTGATTTTTTAAAATTGTTAAAGTGTATTTTTTAGAAATCATATTATACTTTATTTTATTTTGAGTGATCTGGTAGTATTGTAATTATGTGTAATAGGAAGTTATGGAACTACTACGTAGTTAGCAGTTACTGTTATAAATATGTAATTATTGTTGTACGTGGGTAGTTTTTGTAATAAATATGGTTGTAAGAACTTATGTTTAAAGAGAGATGTGTGGTGGAAAATTGGATCACATGTATCAAGGTTGTAATGCATATGTACCATTTTTTTAATTGAATAAATTGTTTGTTTCTTCCATTGTTTTTAATCTTTTTGGTGGTGAGTCTTGGGGTAGTATGACATTATTACACTAATTAAGAAGCCGATTGTTTCGGTGTTGTGGCATCTGTTTTTCTCCACATGGTATTAGAGCCACAAAGGTGGTGGTAATATTGTCTTGACTCCCACGGTGAAGAAGATCTATGGTCTTTTTGAAAATAAATTTGGGTGGAAGGTCGAAACATTTTAGTACTTAGTTGGGAACTCAACTCAAGGTGGTCTTTCTATTTCCCAGCTTCTTAAAGATAAAAAAATCTTGTTAAGATATCTCTATTATTGATATTGAATGAAGCAACACATCATTCATGGAGTAAGGAAGGAGTATGTTCCTTGTGTTATTTCTACTCAAGGGTGGGCTACACAGCCATCCTTGGTGGAGCTTAAGAATATCCTTGGTGGCTCATCAAATGTCTGGATATTCGATTTCAAGAAATGATGAAGATGATCGTATCACACTTAAGATCTAAATATTGTCTCATTTCTAGAAAATCACTTCTAAGTAGAACATTAAAATTGTTAAAGTGTATTTTCTAGAAATCATATTAGTTTTTATATTATTTTATTTGAGTGATGTAGTGAGGTTGTATTAATTATTTATATTAGGAAGTTATGGAACTATTACATGGTAAATAGATATTGTTGTAAATAGGTAGTTATGTTATCAATGAGTGATATTGTAGTAAATATGGTTGTAAGAACCACTATTTCAAGAGACGTGTGTGGTAACAAATTATGTCGTATGTATCAAGTTTGTAATACTTATATGTTCCTCTTTAATCGAATAAAAGTTATTTTTCTTCCACCTCATCTTGATTGTTATTCTTTAATCTCTTTGGTGGTAAGTCTTAGATCAGTGTGACATTATTACACTAATTGAGAAACATAATGTTTCTATATTGTGACATACTTCTTTCTCCACAAGATATAAGAGCCACAAAGGTAGTGATGACTCTCTTGGCGAAGAAATTCAATTGTCTTTTTTTTTTTTGGAAGAAAAATAATTTTTAACAGCTAGACATGGTTTCTTTTCAAGAAAATCATTTTAAGGGGGAATATTAAAATTGTTAAAGTATATTTTTAGAAATCATATTAATCTTTATTTTATTTTGAGAGATGTAGTGAGGTTGTATTTATTATCATATGTAGTCGAAAGTTATGGAACTACTAGGTGGTCAGTACTTATTACTGTAAATACATGGTTATTGTTGTAAGTGGAGAGTTATTGTAATAAATATGGTTGTAAGAACCTTTATTTAAAGAGAGATTTGTGAAGAAAATTTAGGTCATATGTATGAAGTTTGTAATGTTTAAATGAACTCTATTTTTCATCATAGAGTGAAAAGTTGTTTTTCTTTCACCTAATTTTGATTGTTCTTCCATCTATTTGGTGGTGAGTCTTAGGCTAATGTGACATTTTTAAACTTTTTGAGAAGTACATTGTCATAATATTGTGACATTCGTCTTGCTCTACATGGTATTAGAGCCATAAGGGTGGTGGTAATATTGTCTTGACTCCCTTGGTGAAGATTGATTGTCTTCTTAAAGACATATTCATGTGGAAGGTCAAATAGTTTTATTGTTGAGTTGGGAAATCAACTCAAGATGATATTTCTATTTCCTAATTCATCTTAAAGATCAAGAATCCGTGTTTAGATCAATCTTGTTGATATGGAAGAACCTCTTTTGGACGCGCAAATAAAGCGGCGTGTCATTCATGGGTTAAAGAGGGAGTATAATCCATCCCTATGTGACTTATATTCAATGGTGGGCTATGCAAATATCCTTGGTGGCTCATTGAATGTCTGGATTTTCGATTTCAGGAAGTGATCGAGATGATTGCATCACATTTGAGAGTTAAGCATTGTCTCCTTTCTAAAAAATCATTAAGGAGGAGTGTTAAAATTGTTAAAGTGTATGTTTTAGAAATATTATTAATCTTTTCTTGTTTTATTTTGAGTGATGTAGTGAGGTTGTATTTGTAATTATGTGTAATAGGAAGTTATGAAACTACTAGGTGGTTAGTAGTTATTGTTATAAATAGGCCGTTATTGTTGTAAGTAGGTAGTTATCGTAGTTAATATGGTTATAAAAACCTTTATTTAAAGAAATGTGTGTGGTGCGAAAATTGGGTCACATGTATTAAGTTCGTAATGCTTGTACTGCTTTTTAATTGAATAAAAGTTGTTTTTCTTCCACCTCATTTTGATTGTTCTTTTTTTATCTCTTTGATAGTGAGTCTTGGGTTATTGTGATATTGTTGCATTAAAAACATATTATTCCGGTATTGTGACATCTGTTTTTCTCCATAAATTTTAAAAACTATGATATTTATTTTAATAGAGTTTCTTTCTCCTAATCTAACTAATTAATGAGTTCACTGAACCAAGACATATGGAGAGAGAAGCAGAGGGAGAGAGAAAGAGTGAGGGCATGAGAGGGGGTATGGAGAGAAAGAACATGAGATAAAGGGGATTATGTAGAGTGAGAGAGGGGCATGAGAGGGAGGAGATTATGGAGAGAGAGATGCCTAACCAGCTCTAGAGCAAGAGAGAAGAAGTTGAAAATTTTAGGAGGATTTTTAAAAAAATCTAATAAGTGATGATTTTAATATTTTTATTTGAAGCACTTTAAATATATTTTTGTAAATATATGGAAATGAATGGGGTTTTATGCTGCCCCCTCTAAAATTCATCTTGAAGATGGATTTTTTTATCCTCTAAAAGTTTTTAGCCAGAGTTGATAATAAATATGAAAAAAAGGGAAATTTAAAAGTTAGAGATGTATTTTATTGGGATTTTTTGTGCAACGTCCATATGTAATTATGTCCAGTGTACTTCTAGACAACGTCTATCTTAACTCACATAAAGCCGTATGTTTTTGGATACACATGTAGGGTAGGGTATAGATATATCTAGGGTTGTTTAGAAACAATTTGATGGAACTCCTTTTTTTTTTTGGAAAAATTATGTATACATTCGTTATAATTTCCGTTATTATCAAAATACCAAATAGTTTTCGTTATTACTAGAATGTTCGTTTTTTTTTTTGTTGGATTTTCGGTTGTTCAAAAACAAAAAATAAGCTCATTTCGGTTCTTGAACAACCGTAAATAACGGAGCTCGTTTAAATATTTAAAACATTTGTTTATATATCAGTGTAGAAAATAAAAATACAAATTCCAAGCTTTTGTCCTATTTTCAGTTGTTCAACAAACAAAAACAAGATATTTTCGGATGTTGAACAACAAAAAATATTCTATTTTTTGTTTTTGAAAAACCGAAAATAGGATTGTGTATTCCAACAAGCTTATAGAATATGCAGTCTTATTTTCCGTTGTTCAACAACCGAAAACAATACATTTTTGGATGTTGAACAATCGAAAACGTCATATTTTTTGATGTTGAACAATAGAAAATATGATTGTGTATTCTAACAAGTTTATGGAATCTGCAGTCCTAATTTCTGTTGTTCAATAACAAAAACAAGACATTTTCGGATGTTGAACAACTGAAAATATCATATTTTCGGATGTCGAACAACCGAAAATGTCCTATTTTCGGTTGTCGAAAAATTGAAAATGTCATATTTTCAGTTGTCGAACAATCAAAAATGTCCTATTTTAGGTTGTGGATATTTTCGATTGTCAAACAATCGAAAATAATGATGCAAATTCAAGTTGTTATATTTTCGGTTGTTCAACAACCGAAAATAAGACATTTTCGGATGTTGAACAACAAAAAATGATCTATTTTGAACAACCGAAAATAGGGATGCAAATTCCAATCTTCTGTCATATTTTTGGTTGTTCAACAAACGAAAAAGGGTAAAAAAGTCATATTTTAAATTTTTTGTTATGAAGTAAAAGAAACGGACATTCCAGTAATAACAGAAACTATTTAGTATTTTGGTAATAACGGAAACTATAACAGACATATACATACTTTTCCCAACTTTTTTTTTAAGAGATTTTATTTAAAATTAAATTTGACTAAATGCTAAAATTTGGTGCGCATTCGTGTAATGTTCAATATTTTTTAAAAATTGGCAAATTCGATGTGCATAAATGGATTTATGGATAATTTATAATCAACAATCATCCACCGTTGTCAAATATTCCATGTAAAACGTGAATTGAATTGCTTATTCTATTTATGTACACTGTAATCTCAAAGTTATAAACCTAAGAATCAGTAACGTCCCAAGATTTATTGGATATCCCATAATTGTGGAGATGATAGGTTACAAATAAGAATAAGTACAACTAATATACATGGCAAATCTATATCCAATACTCCCCTTGGAGCATGAATGAAGATGATGCTCAACTTGCCACTAACATAATTGAACCGTTTGTGCTTGAGGACTTTTGTAAAAGTATCCCCAATTGATTGGAAGTCGAAGTAGTTCAGAGTTGATCTTTTTACAATCAAGGTGGCAATCCAGTTCTATATGCTTCATTCTTTCGTGGAAAACTAGATTGACCACAATGTAGAGCGGCTTTGTTATTGCAAAACATCGTAATGGGTTGAGTGAAGAATACCAAGATCGGGGTGTAGATATTTCAACCAAGTCAACTCACAACTTAGAAGTGCTATAGAGTTTGACAAAACACTAGGAAACTGTGTTTTGTTTGTGGTTTTTCAATAAATTGGGTTGTTACTAAAAAAAGTGCAATAACAACTGCCAGATTGTCGTGTCATCGGGCACTAGCCCAATCGGAATCACAATATCCAATAACATCAAGTTTACTGTAGGAAGATAATGAATTGCCAAGTCCCAGGGCAAACCTGAGGTACCGAAGTAATCATAAGGCTGCATCAAGATGAGGTTTATGTGAGCTTTGCATAAACTGACTAAGGATATGGAGACTGAAAATAACGTCCAGACAAGTAATAGTAAAAAATATCAGTATGCCAATGAGCCTCCTATAAGAAGAAGAATCTTCAAGTAGCTCATCATCACTAGAATTTAACTTTAAGTTTTGGTCCATAGGAAATTATGAAGGTTCCAAACATGCCAATATCTTGGAGTATCTTTAATGTATACTTACGTTGGCATAGGAAAAAGGCCCTTACTGGACTTGGCCACATCTATGCCAGGAAATATTTCACTAAACCTAGAGAAAGCCATTTCAAAATCCAATTATAGTAGGATCATTTCCACTATTAATTATATCATTAACATAGATGAGAACACGAATATATTTACCACCATAAAGGCCCGACCCGGTCCCCTCGGCTGGCCCTAAAAAGTAGGGTATGAGCCACAAAACCCGGTCCCCTCGGCTGGCCCTAAAAAGTAGGGTATGAGCCACAAAACCTGGTCCCCTCGGCTGGCCCTAAAAAGTAGGGTATGAGCCATAAAATAT